ACCTGGCGCACAGGGCCACTCTATCAACACAGGGAAGCTGCCAAAATGCGGAGACAAAGAAACAGGTCACAAATGGCAGAAATGGAGGAAAGCAAACGATTGGATATAGAGTTTAAGGCCACGGTTATAAGGTTTTTCAAGAATTTTATGGAAACCGCCGATAAATTTAATGAATCCCTCAATAAGTATAGGGAGACCATGGAGGACATGAAAAAGGACCAACTAGAAATTAAGCATACACTGACTGAAATAAAGAATAATTTACAGAGATCCAGCAGCAGAAAAGAGGATCCCAAGAATCAAGTCAAAGATTTGAAGTACAAAGAAACAAAAAATACCCAACCGAAAAAGAAAAAAGAAAAGAGATTCCAAAAATATGAAGATAGTGTAAGGAACCTCTGGGACAACTTCAAGCGTACCAACATCAGAATTATAGGGGTACCAGAAGGAGAGAGAGGGCAAGATATTGAAAACCTTTTTGAAGAAATAATGACAGAAAACTTCCCCCACCTGGTGAAAGAAATGGACTTACAAGTCCAGGAAGCGCAGAGAACCCCAAACAAAAGGAATCCAAGGAGGACCACACCAAGACACATCATAATTAAAATGCCAAGAGCAAAAGATAAAGAGAGAATCTTAAAAGCAGCAAGAGAAAGAAACTCAGTTACCTACAAGGGAATACCCATACGACTGTCAGCTGATTTCTCAACAGAAACCATGCAGGCCAGAAGAGACTGGCAAGAAATATTCAAAGTGATGAATGCCAAGAACCTGCAACCAAGATTACTTTATCCAGCAAAGCTATCATTCAGAATAGAAGGTCAGATAAAGAGCTTCACGGATAAGAAAAAGCTAAAGGAGTTCATTACCACCAAACCAGCATTATATGAAATGCTGAAAGGTATTCTTTAAGAAGAGGAAGAAGAAAAAGGAACTCTTACCATTTGCCACAGCATGGATGGAACTTGAGAGCGGATAAATACCACAGGATCTCACTCATTTGTGGAATATAATGAACAACATAAGCTGATGAACAAGGACTGATCCAGAGACGGAGAGGCATTGATTGGACTGTCGGGACTTGGAGGGAAGGTAGGGGAGGGTGGGGGTAAGGGGGAAAGATCAACCAAAGGACCTATATGTAAGCATATAGGCCTAACCAATGGACATGGACAACGGGGGGGTGAGGGCATGAGCGGGGGTGGGGGGGGTGGGGGGTAGAGGGTAACGTGGGGACAAGGACACATATGTAATATCTTAATCAATAAAAAATATATTAAAAAAAAAACAAAAAAACAAAAAAAAACAGTTCATTCTGTTCATCAGATTATTTATTCACTTGATTCTTAGATTCACTTGTTGATAGATGCATATTTGTTGTTCATAATTTGTATCTTTACCTTTTTCTTCCTCTTCCTCTTCTTAAAGGATACCTTTCAGCATTTCATATAATCCTGGTTTGGTGGTGATGAACTCCTTTAGCTTTTCCTTATCTGTGAAGCTCTTTATCTGACCTTCAATTCTGAATGATGGCTTTGCTGGATAAAGTAATCTTGGTTGTAGGTTCTTGGCATTCATCACTTTGAATATTTCTTGCCACTCCCTTCTGGCCTGCAAAGTTTCTGTTGAGAAATCAGCTGACAGTCGTATGGGTATTCCCTTGTAGGTAACTGAGTTTCTTTCTCTTGCTGTTTTTAAGATTCTCTCTTTATCTTTTGCTCTTGGCATTTTAATTATGATGTGTCTTGGTGTGACCCTCTTTGGATTCCTTTTGTTTGGGGTTCTCCGTGCTTCTTGGACCTGTAAGTCCTATTTCTTTCACCAGGTGGGGGAAGTTTTCTGTCATTATTTCTTCAAATAGGTTTTCAATATCTTGCTCTCTCTCATCTTCTGGCACCCCTATAATTCTGATGTTGGTACGCTTGAAGCTGTCCCAGAGGCTCCTTACACTATCCTCGCATTTTTGGATTCTTTTTTCATTTTGCTTTTCCGGTTGGGTGTTTTTTGCTTCCTCGCATTTCAAATCATTGACTTGATTCTTGCGCTCCTCTGGTCTGCTGTCGGGAGTCTGTATAATATTCGTTATTTCAGTCCGTGTATGCTTAATTTCTAGTTGGTTCTTTATCACAACATCGAGGGTCTCATTAGATTTCTTAAGGATCTCACTACATTTATCGGCGGCTTCTAGACAGTTCTTGAGAGACCTTAAAATTGTGGTTCTGAACTCTATATCCTCCATGGACAGTTTTTGTCCTGTTTCTTTGTCTCGGCATTTTTTATGCTTTCTTGGTGCACCCCCTAGTGGTCTTTGTGTGCAGTCTTGTTGTAGTTAAGCCTTGATTGTTGTCGGCAATAGTGGGGGTGATTTGACCTCCAGGCTGACTGGCTATGAGAGTCCGCTGTGTCTGCAGTGGGAGAGCTTCTGTGCTGGATCTCTAGGGCGGTGCTAATCTAGCATTTGCCTGAGGCTATCCGGCAAATGGCTCTGTGCAGGGCTTGGGCGGGGCGGGTCCCTGGGGATCTACAGGGTGGGCCGGAGTGAGCAGTTACGGCCGCTCTCAGTTCCGTCCCTAGGGGCTCTGCCTCACAGAGTCCCAGCAACTGCTGCAAACCTTGGAGAGGAAGCTGCCTTCGATTCCCGACCGAAGCCAGACAGTCCCGCTTCTCCCGTTTGAGTCTGGGTCCCTAGAGACTCACCCGGATCTGGAGCTCAGAGTCTGAAACTCCCTCCTGATTGAAAACAACAACCGCGCTCTCTGCCGCCAGCCCGCTCCGTGCGCACTCCGCACCTCAGTATTTCACTTCAGCACTGCGCCTCCTCTGAGTCTGGGTATGATATTCTCTTTCCTCCTAGTTGTAGAATTTCCACTCAGCCAGCCTTCCTGTGGTTCTGGATGATGTCCGTTCCGTCTTTAGTTGTTTTTTGAAGTGGTTTTTCGAGGCAGCAATCTCCGGCGTTAACCTATGCCACCATTTTGGTTATAAACCGATATTTCTGATAAGCGTTTAATCTCCAAAATTTACAGAGAACTCATACAACTTAACAAAAGGAAGATAAGTGATCCGATCAAAAATGGTCAAAGGATCTAAATAGACACGTTTTGAAAGAGGACATACAGAAGGCCCTGAGACATATGAAAACATGTTCAAAGTCACTAATCATCTAGAGATGCAAATCAAAACAACAATGAGCTATCCGCTCACACCTGTAAGAATGGCTATCATCAACAAATCAGCAAACAACAAGTGCTGGTGAGGATGTGGAGAAATTGGAACCCTCCTGCACTGATGGTAGGAATGCAGACTGGTGCAGCCACTGTGGAAAAATGTATGGCCGTTCCTGAAAAAGTTAAAAATTAAACTCGCATTTGATCTAGTAATCCCACTTCTAGGAATATATCCCAAGAAAACAGAAACACCAATCAGAAAGGATATATGCACCCCTATGTGCTTTTCAGCACAATTTACAATAACTAAGATTTGGAAACAGCCTAAGTGTCCACCAGCAGATGAGTGGATTAAAAAACTGGTACATCTACACAATGGAATACTACACCACTATAAAAAAGAAGGAACTTTTACCATTTGCAACAGCATGGATGGAACTGGAGAGCATTATGCTAAGTGAAATAAGCCAGTCGGAGAAAGATAAATATCACATGATCTCACTAATATGTGGGATGTAATGTTCAAAATAATTTGATGAACAAGAATAGATTGATCTAGAGACAAATTGCTGGAGACCAGTTCCAGCATGTACAGCAGGGTTGCTTCTGGGAATGGCTGAAGGCATTTCCCCAAATCTGAATAGGATACATTAAATTGATTCTTGGCTGCCAGACAGCTAAAAGGCATCTTAATCTACATGTTATTGCCTCCTACTGGTCAAACACCTGAACAGCCGTAGGCTAATTCCCCCATTCTGACAATGGACTCTGTACCAAACCCTGACCCTTTGAAATGTATATCTCTGCCTCGCCTCAGGACAAATTGTGTTAATGAAAAGCTTGGGGTCTTGGGGAAGGTGAGAACCTAAGACCTGAGACTTAAGATCTTGGATCTTAGCTTCTTTAGCTAAGCTCCTCTGACCCCCAAATGCCTTTCAAAATTATATCTCCTCTCCGGACTCTTTATTAGTCCCCAGACTCCTATTTAACATCTACCCACAGCCTCCTCCAGATTCCTGAACCCTTCTTGATGCTGGAACAAGAACCCTGGCAACAATTGGTAGGACAGGGTGGGGTTAGAGAACAAACAAAGGACTTGTATGCATTCATATTAGCATAACCAATGGACACAGACACTGGGGCGGTGGAGGCTTGCCTGGGGTTTGAATGGATGGGGGAGTGGGTCAATTGGGGAAAAAGGAGACATATGTAAAACGTTAGACAATAAAAAAAGAACTTGTTGCAATAAATTTTGGTTGTTGCTTGGACCCTGCTTGGACTTAGTTGTTTCAGAATCCACAGAAAATAAATACTTACATCCAAGCCCATCTGTGTGGGTATTGCCTATAAGTGCTTTCACAGTACAATGGCAGAGTTAAGTAGCTGCAACAGAGCACTGATGGTCCAATAATAATCTTTATCCAGTTCTTTAAAACTATGTTTGGCAGTGACTGTCTTAAGTCACTAACAGGTACTGGTTTTATATTTAAAGTATTCTTTCTGTAAAGAAATGCTCTGAATAGCCTCGCTGGCCAGAAAAAGAGATGTACCGATGGGAGTTTAAAGATGTGAGTGCGTTTACCCTTAGATGAAAAAACTGAACAATTGGATCTGGGGAACTTGTACAAAGGACACATTACCTCAGTACCTGAAGTTTACGCCCCATCAAGTGCATATTCATAATTGATCCCTGGTTCTCACAATTGAGGTCAAGGGGAAGTTTCTGGGAGGTTCCTGTTTGGGATGGGTGTGGTCAGGGACATCACTAAATCTCTGGGTCAGACACTCCATGTGACTCACAGCAGCTCAGAAGCTCATGATGTTATCCTGTCCATGTGTCCTGCATGAGCGCTTACATACCCTGGGGAGATGTTCATTCCAGGGGAGGTGGATCCATCAGTAGGAAGGGAATATTCATCTGGCCCCCAAGGTGAACCCATGGAAACCAACACTGGCAGAAAAGTTGCCTTTTATTTATGGTCCCTTGGTTTCAAGGGAGCTGAGTTGCTTAGAGAACTGAGCAACAGTAAAACAGTCCATTTAATGAGGAGCCCTGAGAATTCAGCCTCTGGACCTCCCTCTACAGACTCACCTGAGGCTCCTCAGCCACAGGCTAAGAGCATCCTCTCTAAGATGTTCAACTGCTCTGGAAAACCAGCACCTGACCTGCATTTCTTGCTCTTTCCACATCAATTGTCCAAGGAAGGAAGGACCGGTAGAACCAAATCCAGTGAGTGACGCCATTGGGGGTGCCAGAGTGAGCTCTGTGGGGAGAAGTAAAGCTTTTAGTAACCGTGTCTTCTGGGGGAACAGTCAGGCTGATGAAATAGTGAAAGGGATGGACTCAAGATCCCGTACATTTGATGTCCTTTGTTCTGAAGTGGTTTCTTGCAACTTATTCCTTCTCAGCCCCTTTCTTCTCTCCATCTCAGAGCACAATTTCATGGCCTCTCTCCTCCCACAGCAGGAACAGGCCCTCCCTTCTCTCTGCTCAGCTCTCAGGATTCTGCTTTATTTCAACCTTAGCATTTCCTTTTCTGTGTGAAGCATTGACAGGGTGAGCAGCCTTGCAGAGCAGAAAAGCACTGACTAAGGGTTAGGGAGGTGTGAGTTCTAATTTACTCTTCTACAGCTGGTGCCCGATAGACCGGGGAACTCTTTCTCTACATTCTGTGGGTCTTTCTCTCATCAGCACAAGGGTGAGTATGAAGGAGATCTCAGAGAATGCTCACGGAAGAACAGGTGCCATGGGTCTATTTTTCCCTGTATCTCTGCTCTGCTTCTACCCAAAGAAACTGGCCTTTTAAACTGCTCTCACATTTATTGTATTTAATTCCATATTATTTTTACTGTGTCCCAAAATAAGACATGCCTTTACATTGTGATCCAGCAATTTTTGCACATACACACAGAAACCGCCCCCCCCCCCCGCCCACACCTCTCTGAACAAAGAGAGCCATAAACACTCACTATTTATGTTGCACTGTAATATTTTATTTTGTGCCTTCTTGCCTCTATTTCACCATTCAGTGTCCTTTTTGAGCCTTGAGTACCTAAAACAAGTGTCATCTTAGGGCTTTGGCACTGCCTCTTACATAATCCTCCATCCCCAAGTAACCCTGTGTCACCCCCTCTGTCTTCCTTGAGGTCTCTGTTCAATTGCCACCTTGTTTGAAGGGCTGCCTGAACTCCCAGTATAAAATAACACCCCATCCACTCTCTTTTATACTTACCTTCTTTTTCTTCACATGACACCATCTAACTTGGTCTATGACATATTTGTTGTATATATTCTTTCACTATCATTATATTCTAGGAATTTTGTTTCTGAGTATCCGGTACCCTTTCCCTGGAGATGGGAATTGTCAATAAATATTCCTCAAGTGCATGAAAGCATTTCTCATTAAGACAGTGTAATCCATGACCACCTTGGAAAAAAAGGTTGAGGAAGACAGCAATTCCTAATCAGAGATGCCGTGGGGGATGATACGTACAAAAAATAAATATTGTTGCTTTGTTACAAAATATAATTGTAGCATTTCAACTGTGCTTGTAATGGCCATTTGTGTAAAAAGTAATCATGCTATTTTTTTCTTTCCTGCTAGTCACTTCTACCCCATGGGACCTGAGAATGATACTGTGATTTCAGAATTTCTTCTTCTGGGACTTTCAGAGGAACCAGCACTGCAGCCCCTCATATTTGGGCTTTTCCTCTCCATGTACCTGGTCACTGTGTTGGGAAACCTGCTCATCATCCTGGCCGTCAGCTCAGATTCCCACCTCCACACACCCATGTACTTCTTCCTCTCCAACCTGTCCTTGGTAGATATCTGTTTCACCTCCAACACCGTCCCAAAGATGCTGTGGAACATCCAGACACAAAGCAAAGCCATCACCTATGAAGGCTGCATCACACAGTTGTATTTTTTCTTACTCTTTGGGGGACTGGATGACTTCCTTCTAGCCGTCATGGCCTATGACAGGTATGTGGCCATCTGCCACCCCCTGCACTACATGGTCATCATGAACCCCCGTCTCTGTGGACTGCTGGTTCTGATGTCCTGGATTATGGGTGTCCTGAATTCCTTGGCACAAAGTTTAATAGTGTTGCGATTGTCCTTCTGTACAGACTTGGAAATCCCACACTTTTTCTGTGAACTTAAAGAGGTCGTCCAGCTTGCCTGTTCTGACACTTTTCTTAATAACATGGTGATGTATTTTGTATCTGTGCTACTGGGTGGTGGTCCCCTTGCTGGTATCATTTACTCCTACTCTAAGATAGTGTCCTCCATACGAGGAATCTCATCAGCTCAGGGGAAATATAAGGCATTTTCTATGTGTGTGTCTCACCTTTCAGTTGTCTCCTTATTTTATGGAACAAGCATTGGAGTGCATCTCAGCTCTGCTTCTACCCACAGCTCACACTCAAGTGCAGCAGCCTCAGTGATGTACACTGTGGTCACCCCCATGCTGAACCCCTTTATCTACAGTCTCAGGAACAGGGACATAAAGAGGGCCCTGAAAAGATTCTTTGGGATGGCAGGTACAAAGGGGACAATCATTCCGGGGTAAAAAGTGCCCTTGGTTTTGGGCTACAGAACCTAAAACCAGAAATAGTGATTCTTTAATCACATTGTGTTTTTTAGACTTGCTCCTTTTATTTTTTTAAAAACATATTTTTATTGATTTCAGAGAGGAAGGGAAAGGGAGAGAGAGAAACATGAATGATGAGAGAATAGTATTGATCACCTGCCTCCTGCATACCCACTCCTGGTGATTGAACCCACAACCCAGGCATGTTCCCCGAGCAGAAATCCAATGGAGACCTCCTCGTTCATAGGTTAATGCTCAACCATTGAGAAATACTGGCCGGGCCAGAATTTGTCCTTTTATTCTGCCCTTGAATTTCCTTTGTTTGTTTAAACTTCTCTATACAATTTAAGCAACCATTTTATTAAGCTTTCTGCTTTGTCTGTTATATGGTCAGTTTTTCCCTTTATCCTTTTTTAACCTTTACAAAGTTTTTTTTTCATCCTTGATCAGAAATTGTGAGAAGTTTCCATTTACTTCACTAGAAACATTGATGTCTTACGATTAATTCCTTCTCAAATGACATATATTATTGTAAGTAATTTGTTCTTGTTTTGTAGGTAGAATAGTAATACGTGGAGTTACTCATGTAGAAAAACTGCACTTGGCTACCTAATCCATTGTATAATTTCATTCCATAAAATCTGTAACCTCGGTTTTCACCATGTGTCCCTCATTCTCTGTACATTGGTACCTTAACTGCTCTTCCTGGTATTATAGATTTTATCATTGTTCCCTATAAGTCTCCGTCTATTGACACCGATGCAATAGGATAGGGATGCCTGGGCACTGGCCTGGTTCCTACTACTTGTTCCTCAGACCAGCGTCAGTGTTCTGGGTGGATGGACTCTTGTGGTCCTTCTTATAATAACAACAACCATCATGGAACTATGAAAAGGTAAGGTTTATTACTCACAGTCCTGTACCCCTAAAGCCACACATAAAGCTGTGTGTATGCATGTGTGTGTGAAAGAGAGAGAAATGAACTTGGGCTGAAGGACTCTGCCTATATAGGGGACCAAGGGTATGATGGCTATGGTTTTGTGGGTTTGCTTTTTTAAAATGTATCTTTTTATTGAAAGTATTACAGATGTTCTTCTTTTCTCCCTCCATTGACCCCACTCTTCCCCTCACCTGTCCTCTCCCCAGGCCTTCACCTCACTATTATCTATGTACATGGGTTATTCACATACACCTATAAGTTCTTTGGTTAATTTTTCCCTCCCACCCCTTCCCTCTGAAGATTCACACTCTGTTGCATGCTTTCATGTCTCTGGATCTATTTTGTTTGTCACTTTATTTTGTTCATGGATTTCACAATTAAGTGAGATCATGTGATACTTGTCTTTCTCTTAGTGACTTATTTCACTTAGCATAATACTTCCCAGGCCCCTTCATGCTTTTTCAGAGGGTAAGAGATCATTCTTTCCCACAACTGCATAGTATTCCATTGTGTAAATGTACCACTGTTTTTTTTTAATCCATTCTTCAATGGTTGGGCACCTGGGCTGTCTCCAGATATTATCTATTGTAAATAATGCTGCTATGAACATAGAGGTACATATATTCTTTCTGATTAGTGTTTCAGACTTCTTAGGTTATATTCCTAGAAGTGGGATGACTGGGTCAAATGGCAGTTCCATTTTTAATTTTTTTGAAGAACCTCCACACTGTTTTCCATAGTGGCTGTACCAGTCTGCAATCCCACCAGCAGTATCCTAGGGTTCCCTTTTCTCCACGTCCTTACAAGCACTTGTTGTCAGCTGATTTATTGATAGTAGCCATTATGGCCCATGTGAGGAGGCACCTCACTGTGTTTTAATTTGCATCTCTCTGATGATTAGTGACGTTGAGGATTTTTTCATATGACTCTTGACTGTTTGTGTTTCCTTCTTGGGAGAAGTGTCTATTTAGGTCTTCTGTCCATTTTCTGATTGGGCTGCTTGTCTTCCTTTGGTCTAGTTGTATGAGTACTTTATATGTTTTGGGTTTGCTTTTTATTTGAAACCTAAGAGCAGGAATTAAGGCAGAGGAAGAAAAAGCAGGGTCATTAATGTGGTCAGTTGTCTAGGTTACTCAGGGTTTTCGAAATGGGAATTTTATAACATGTTACAGTATTTTTATCACAAAATATCACAAAATATTACAAAATATCACAGTAAATATCACAAAATTCTGTGTCTGTGCTTGTGTGTAATTCCAAATGAACTTTGCTCCCTTCACATCTAATGTGAAGTTTCTCCCTTTGCTTGTTTTGAAAATGCTTCTAATTAAAAATAAAATTGCATATATTAATTATTTCAAAACAAAATCATTAAATTTAAAATAAAAGGGGAACTTCATGAGTGAAGGCAACATGAGTGCTTATGTAGTAGCTGTGTCATGCATCTGGCAAAATGATTATTTGTGATGGATGTATTTGAAACAAAAGCTTAGTCAAACACGCTACTGTATTTTATACCTAGCTTCCAGGTTTCAATGTTGTATTTAGCTGAGCATCCAGAAAAGCTACCATAGTTACTGCCAAAAATGGATTATTAAATATCTCTCTTCCAGTGGAGTCTACTTGGAAACATACGTGAGAGGTTCAAGACAGGAGGAGCAGTCAGGTGGTGTATGTCTGACATTCTGAGCTAAAGATGAGGTAAAGCTCCTGAGGCTTCAGAAGGGAGGAAGGACATTGCAGGACAATGAGAAGAGCAGACGTTCAGTAATTAGAAATTTGCCCTGCCCTCAATATAGGCCATAAATGTTATTTCTGATGATAACTCTTATTATTGGCAAGACCTAAATTTTAAATTCTTTTTTTTTTTTTTAAATATATTTTATTGATTTTTTACAGAGAGGAAGGGAAAGAGATAGAGAGTCAGAAACATCGATGAGAGAGAAACATCGACCAGCTGCCTCCTGCACATCCCCCACTGGGGATATGCCCGCAACCCAGGTACATGCCCTTGACCGGAATCGAACCCGGGACCCCTCAGTCCGCAGGCCGACGCTCTATCCACAGAGCCAAACCGGTTTCAGCTTAAATTCTTTAAGGGAGAGGTAAAAGTTTCTTTTGGACTCCCAGGGTCTCAGGTGCCTTCAGCTCAAAAACAATCCAAGTACATGTCTTGGGGTGACTCATTCTGAACCCTTACAATAGTGACCCAGTTTCATTCTTTTTCCTGTGGTTGTCCAGTTTTCCCAGTACAGTTTATTGGAGACACTGTCCTTTCCTCATTTAGCATTCTTGGTTCCTTTCTCCTAAATTAATGACCTTATGTGTGTGTGTTTATTTCTTGGCTTTCTATTCTTTTCCATTGCTCTATGTGTTGGTTTTTATTACTGTAGCTTTATAATATAGTTTGAAATCATGGAATGGATTGCCTTCAGCTTTGTTTTGCTTTCTCAGAATTGCTTTGGTTAATGGGTTTTGTGGTTTCACACAAATTTTAGGTTTGTTCTATATTTGTGAAAAAATGACTCTTCAGCTCTCAGGTGTAAGACAGTGGAATTCTACTTCTAAATGCTACTGACTTGTACATATGAAGGCCTCACATCCAGCCAGGTTGAGATCTTGTTGGTCTCATAGCTGGTCAAGGTGGCCATAATAGGGGCCAATCAGTTGCCCCAGGTTGGTATCTGCCTCTGAATGTGGTTGCATAATTAGTTGAACAGTTTCTTAGAAATACTAGTAAGAACAGTTGTTCCTGCACTGCTTTAGCAGTAGAAAAAGATAGAATACCGATTAGGAGAGCAGACTCTGGAGCTAAGTAGCCTGTGTTTGTGCCCCAGTTTCAGCACTTACCTGCTGTGTGATCTTGGGCAATTTTCTTAACTTTCTGCTTCCTCAATTTTGTCAATTTTACTTAATAAAGTTATTGTGTCTGTTAGTGATTTTCGTGTATCAAATTTCCTCAGTACTCCATAACGTAAAGTGTGTAAGTAGGGATGACTGGGTAGATCTGGTATCTCTTACGCTTCTGGTCAGGGCAGTGGCTCTGCTGACCTTGGATGAGTCTCTCACACAAATTTTGGATTGACTGGTGGTAGGCTTGAGGCTTGTCTAGTGGCATAAGCTGGAACACTGGGGCTGGAGGCTTATTCCAGATGATCTGGGCTTGTTTACACAGCCATGGCTGTAATCCAAGAGACAGATGTGTGCAAGGCTCAGAATTAGCACAACATCATTCTACCACATTATTCTGGTCAAAGAAACCCATAATATTCACGTGGTTGGCAAACAGACTCAATCCTTTACAGGGTGAAAGTTATATTGGAAAGTGAGAGGATACATGGAGTCCATTGATAGGGGTCATTGATGCAATCAGTCCCCATCATTGTTAATCTATTCTATTAGCTTTCTTTTGTAAGGACATTTGTGTTGAAATTTCACATTAAGAAGAAGAAAAAAAAATCAAGTCAATTTGATGATTCTGCTCCATTAACAGATCTAGTGAATTCCCAATGTCATAAAATTGAAACCAAGCCAGAATCCCTTCTCAACCAAACCCCTACCCCCAAACCCCTACTTGCAAGGAAACAGACCTGAGTACCTTTTCCATATATTCACCAAAGTAACTTTTTCAGACATTAATCAGGGTTTTGTGACACTAGTCCCCCCTCTGGAATCTTGATAACATAGTGACACATATCTTGAGTTGGTTTTATAAGAACTAAAATGTTCTACCAGATAGAAAACCACTGACTCTCATGGACCACAGTCACATAAACCCCAGGCTAGCTGACATTGGATGACTGATGATCACAACTCCTAAAAGAGCTCCTTGTAACATGCGCTCCAACCAATCAGAATATACACATGAGCTGATCACCCATTGAAGACCCCTTGCCCCAATTTCACCCTTTAAAACCAACTGCCAGTAAATGAACCAGGAGTTCAAGTTTTGAGCACTACCTTTCTCATTCTCCTTGCACGGTGCTACCAAAAAAGTGAGTCTAATCTCTCCACTACAAATCTCATGTTCAGTGTGTGT